TGTCGAGTGTGAGTGCTAAAAAAACCCGTATTTCTATTGACTCGTACTTCAACTAACGTAGGATTTCTGGATTTTTGAGACAAGCTTTTCCCCTAGGATTAGGCTTGGCTTGCGCAGTGCGCATAAGACACGGAAACCACCTGTTAGTTAAGGTTTGGGGTTTAGCTATCCCAACATGCCTGCTTGGAAACACCCATATACAGCCCTTCCAAATATGCCTTGTAAACACCTTGGATTTGCAATCCTCCACCGACACTTGGCGTGGCCTAGTTATCCTGCTTTCTCAAGTACTGTAAACCCTCTGGTTTGGAGTATTTGTCGGGCCGCTGGCTGCCCCTGCGCAAAGCTTCGTGAGTGATTTCGACAGTGCAGTTGTGGGCTCTCATAGAGTCCTGAGTACAACTTTCAAGATCGATCGCAGCTGCATGTATTACGATACCATTTCTCTTGATAGTTTACTGCTGCCAAAAAGCCTATTGGGAAACGATCCCCCGGATTCAGCGTGCAGTTCAAACTACGGGACAGACTCTTTTCCAAGCGTTGATCAAGAACGGATGCGCACACGCAAGACGGCAACAAGGAACGTAAGACTGCAGCGGTCCACGGCCTGCTTTTGAATTCGCGCCGGCGAGTAAATCAGACAACACGAAGGCAATCCACTACGAAATCGCGCGGTGCGTGCTTCCCTTGTCTGCAGAAGAGAGAACCGAAAAGATGACAAAGTTTGAAAAGTGAGCCGTGGTCCGAATTAAGTGTGGAAGTCGTTGTCGAGCGTCCTGGATATTCATAAATTGCAGCGCTCGCAACCAGCGAGACGTCGATGTGCGTTTGCCCGGCCGAGACTGAAAACCGCCTAGGCTCATCTGCCCGCAGAGCTTTGGAAGGCCGCATTCAAGTGGCTCGCTCTGAAGCAACACCGGCAGATGGACGAGACGTGAGACATGAGACAGGTGCCGGAGTCTGGGAGAACGGCGTTTTCCAAGCAGCCGGACCCCCGAAGCCTTCGCTTGAGGTTATGGACGGGAACTCGAGCCCCGGCGCTGGAATCTCTGGCTCAGGCCCAGATCGACCGGTGCATTTGGAATTACCAGACCAGCTACCAGTCGCTCGGCCGCGTCTGGCGACTTGCACATGGGGAAACACGTGGTGTAGATCAGGTGCCGGCCAGACTTCAACTGCGAGCGAGTGCGTGTGCATCACAAGCCAACGAGGCCCGCATTGCCCGGCAGAAGCAATTGTCGTCAAAATGCTCTGGATCAGGGAGCGCGGCACGGACAGGAACGAGTGCGAGAAGCTCCGATTCAGAGAAAAACGCAAGGAGTGACGCCAAGTTCAGATGCCTCCCTTCCGGGCTATGCCGAGCCTCGCTCTGCGTTAAGGAGTTAGCACGCCTTAGGCGTGAAGAGCGCAAAGTCCAGGAGTTTGGGAGAATGGCGGGATGTAGGTTGTTGTAGGCTCTGATTTGCGTCTTTTTTCTGCGTCTTGACATGGCAGGAGCGCTTCAGCTCCGAGGGTGTTTTGCTCCGGCACTCGGGTGGCTTCTGTGTGCCTAGCTTAGAGCTCAGCGAGTCACCGTTGTCGGGGATGCGTCCGCCGGGGGAGGTTCGACCTTCAGACGAAGCTTTCGGGCAAGGTGCAGTGCCACGTCCCAAGCCTCGAATCCAGCATCGATGTCGAGGGCTTCTCGCGGAGCGTGGCCTTTGAGGCTTCTACTCAGAAGCTGCGCCCTTCCACCCGCGGAGCAGAACCTTCACATGGTACCTGTGGATGCAGACGACGACGACGACGAGGAGTCCTTGGGAATCGTGCAGCTCCGCATCGGCTGGGCTCCTAAACATCTCCAGCTTAACGAGTATTTAAGACTGACACCCAAAGACACCAATGTCAGCAAGTCCTCCGAGTGGAAAGCCCAAAGAAGGTTGAAAGCCGGATGCCCGCATCCCTACCGGGCCCTACCGAACACTCCTTTCTTCTTGCAGCCGCAAGTCGTCTGAACTGCATGCAAAGGAGCATTGCCACCTGGTAATGGCAGCAACGTTCTGTTGAATGTTGGCCATGATGACCTTGCAGTGTCGAAGCTTAAGTCAGGCATGCGTCCTGTCAATCGAGGCCGGCATTGTGCATACCCGCAGGGCGACGACATGGACACAGCACCGGAGGACGCCGAAGCATGTTTGACATTCAGCTATGCTCAAAGGTTCATGCTGGAGAAAGGAGTTAGGGTTCGAGAGTATGGGGGGGCGTTGCCACATGAAAACTCCACACGATCGGCAACTTTTGCAGCCTTCAGCGAAGGGACTCTCACAGCCATCCAAGCACTTTGAAAAGTCTGCAACACTGACAACAGGGAATGCAGTTTTTTTGAAGTACACTGGAAGGAGCGAGTGCGTGGGTGTGGGTGTGAGAGTGTGTGAGCCTTAAGTCTAAGCTAAAGGTTCGTGGATGGCACAATTCGCCGACAGCAGGGGGGCAAGGGCTCCAGTGA